GGGCGGCGGGTAATGCTGATAAAGTCAGCGTAGCCCCGCTTCGCTCCATTATAAATACCGTCCTCTCGTTCTGCCGCTAGCAGTTGGTTTGGCATAACTTGCAAGGAAAGAGCCGGGCTGTCCTCGCATGGCACTCCAGAATTATTGAGCCCGAGATAGTGGCGGCTATAAAGCTGCTCGTGATTATTCATTTTTTTCTCGAAGAGAGAACACCACTACAGTCATCATAGTTATCGTTGTAACCCAGACATTGTGAAAAGATATTGTTTCTTGTGTTTAAGGTAATCGCCAGAAGAAAAAAAATCCTAGTTAACGTGAATGAATTGTACATACAAATTTCACGTGTTTTGCTCAAAACATTTCCTGGATATTTTTGCTGTCTTTACTGCGGGGGCTCAGAACGTGACGCCTTATCGCTGGTTCCCAAGGGCGCCAGAAAGAATGCATCTTCGATCAATTCCGTAAACATACTTGTGTTTCATTTTGTTGGTTATCAACTCTCAAGAAACCATAAAACACATTCATCGCTTACGGAGATTGCAAAGGACGTTGGGTAAGTGCACTGTTTATTTTATATATTGTTCAGATTTCTCTTGGTACTTTCTAGTTCCTGACAGATTTCGTTGGCAGCAATCACAGAGGACAGAATCATACGAGGCTTCGTGAATTAAAGATTCTGAAACAAAGACAGTAGTCCATATCAATATCATCATCATCATCATCATCATCATCATCATCATCATCATCATCATCATCATCATCATCATCATCATCATCATCATCATCATCATCATCATTGTTGCTTGATTTACGGACAAAAAGTACCAGTTTAAATATAAAATGTTTAAAATTTGTTATATTGAATTGGTCCAACGTTTCGCCACGTAGGGTTCCCACTCTTCATCATCTTCATCATTACTATTATCATTATTCAGGCTTGTCCACTTTTGAATAGGAAATAATGACGCCTGCACTTTAAAGGCCCCTCGTCGTAGGACGCAACAGACATGAGTTCGAGCCTCACGTGGAGAAGTCTATTTTACTGTGTATCTCTCTTTCTGGTGGAATGTTGTATTCCATTCAGCCAAGACTGGCAATATACCGGGCAGCAGCAGAGCATCTTGTAAACAATCAAGTCGTGTCGGTTTTTGTTATTCTTTTCTTTTCTTCCTTTTTAAAAATATTTTTACGGTTCTTGCAACACAATGAGATTACATCAGTGCCGAAGATTAGACGTGTTACAAGAAATTTAAAAAAAAAGAAAGGAAGACGGAGCAGCAGTGAGGACAATAGATGTTTGAAAGAAAAGAAGGAGCAAACTACTCCAGAGCACACGTCAGTGTCGATAAGAACAAATCCCAAGGGAGACGTTAAATTCTTGTAAAATCCAAGTAAAAAATAAAGTATTTTTTATGAAGTTCTTAATACAACGATACATATTTGTCTCTATAACTTTCATTATAATGTAGTTGGTAAATGGGGCGTTTATGGTCTATTGAAAAGGCATTATTATTATTACTACTA